TCTATGCCTCTGGATTCTGGGTACACGTCCTCTCTCTCTCTCAAAGTATAAATATTTTTATGGGATCAAAGAATGTAACTGAGAATAACATTACAATTTACAAACCACAGATTTCATGCACAGACCTTTATGTCTGACCAACCCAAATGGTTCAACGTCTCTATGAACTCAGATTCAAATGTTTCCGAAGTAAGTTTCCAGTACCGTAGAAGTATAGAACCATTGTGAATACACGATACTCCAAGCTCCCACTACTAGTACTCTAGTATACTCCTTGCATTAACTAATTACTTTTGCAGGAAACAGTTGGGACTAAGGTTTTGATTCCGGTGCCTTTTGGACTGATTGAGCTATTCGTTGCTAGACAGGTAAACTGTTTCTCGTTAGTTATTCCCTTTCCTCATTCAGTACCAAAGTAGGGACCATAGTGTACCCTTCAGTAAGACAGACTAACAGACCATAAAGAATTGATTCTCCTTGTATATATGCTGATGGTACTTCTGGTTGTTTTCTTTAACAGATATCTGAAGATCAAAATGTCATAGACTATATCAAAGCGCAGTGCAGCACCTTCTTGGATCAGCAAACTATAATCAATTCAAGCAATGTGGATTCAAACTTCTCAGTGAACGTAAATGCAATCAGTGAAGTCCAATCAAAGCCGCCCTTGTTTTCTAGCGGAAATGATCAGAAGGATCACAACAGTTTTCATCAGCCACCAGTTTCCCCAGCAACTGCAATGGAGAATAATTTGAATCTGCCATATGACATCTCTATTGACAGAATCCATTTGTGTACTTCTCCAATGAACTATTTGCACCAATATAATTTCACAGAAAATCGATCCAAGACCGATATGTTCATGGAAGGGACAAATGAATCGTTTCCTTCTGACAAGCCATTGAACCCTTTTCAGTCTTCTCCAGAAAATAAATACCAAGATATGGATTCATTTCAAAAGTCTCTGATGAGCAATATGGGAAACGTGCATGGTGTAGAGAGCTTAGGTAACATGGAGCAGCAAGGAAATGACAAGGATTCAATGAAAAACGAGACAGGTCGATCAGATTCAGTCTCTGATTGCAGTGATCCAAATGATGATGAAGAAGACACCAAGTATCGACGGAGGACAGGAAAGGGTCCTCAATCCAAAAACCTTGTTGCTGAGAGGAAGAGAAGGAAGAAGCTTAATGATAGACTCTATGCTCTTCGGGCTTTGGTACCCAATATTTCTAAGGTAATTAACCATTCTGTTCAAAATAATTTCAAATTCAACACACAGTTCACAGTGTCATTATTGATGCACAAACAAATGCAGATTAGTCAAAAATATATATATATATATATTATTGAGCACAATTAAAAAAAAAACAGGATTTCTGTAACTATAATTCACTAAATATCTATATTCCTTGAAATCCTTTTTGGTGAAGGACTAAGGATATAAATGTTCTTTGTTGATACCGGTGTCATATTCGTGATTAATGAAAAATCAATCATTGCTTAAAAGACGATTCCACCCACTTTTAATTATATCAACAGGAGATTCTCTTAGTCGTGGTTGGACACTTAGTACGGACCACAACCAAACTCAGGCCATTATTCTATGGACTGCGCTCCTAGGTTAATAAACCTCTTATGTCTGACTCAATTGCCATATAAAATACTCGTGAGTGTCGGCTAGTGGATCCCTTTAGTAATTTCTCTAATCAATTCTTAGTAGTCAGTGCATCTTTGCCACTAACCCTGGAGCGCTATGGAGGCATTTTACCACCCTTGGGAACCCCACGAGCCCCACGAGGAGCACCAGAGCCACAATGAGTAACCACACAGCCAGCATGGTGCCCTTTTTGCTAATGGCCCCAATTCTTCTTGCAGTTGGATAGAGCTTCTATACTTGGAGATGCCATTGAATTTGTGAAGGAATTGCAGAAGCAAGTCGAAGATCTCCAAAATGAGCTAGAAGAACATTCAGACGACGAGGGTGCCAACAATAACCACAGCAATCTGACCAACGGCCAGCCGGATATTCTACTCCGAAATGGTACCAATCTTGGGCCAGGACCTGAACATGAAAAACTAGGCAATGGGTTTCATATGGGAGTATCCGGCAATGGCGGCACTGAGCTCTTGAAACAAAATCCGGACTCAGAAAATACTGGTGACAAGGTGCAGCAAATGGAGGTATAACAACATATATTTATCTTTTTTCTTTTTTCGATCTTGGTGCAACGGTAATTGTTTATTGTGACCTGAACCTCTCCAAACCCTGCAATGGCAGAAATCTCATGCACTAGTACACTTTTTTTTTTCTTTTTCCCTTTCAATCTTGATTTATCGGAATATTAACAACATTGCAGCCGCAAGTGGAAGTGGCTCAACTGGGTGGAAATGAGTTCTTTGTGAAGGTATTCTGTGAACACAAGGCTGGTGGATTTGCGAGGCTGATGGAGGCTTTGAATTCTCTAGGCTTGGAAGTAACAAACGTGAATGTAACTAGCTTCAGAAAACTGGATTCCAATGTTTTCAAAGTAGAGGTAATATCGATACTTGAAAAAAAAAGGGTGAAATACGTTTTTGATCTCTAAAGTATGTATTTAGTGTTTATTTACTTCCAATTGTTCAATTGTGTTTATTTGATCCCTAAGATTCATAATTTGTATCTACGTGGTCCAATCCTAAACGTTTATAAAAAAATCGTAATGTTTTTTGTCACGCGCCAATCACATGATTACTAATTTTGTGTCTATTTGATCTCTAAAATTTCTAATTCTATATCTATTTGATTCCACGTAATTGACGCGTGACCAAAGCTGTTAATGATTTTAACGTTTGAGATTGGATCGCATAGATTTAAATTACAAACCTTAGAGACTAAATAGACACAATTGAAAGATTGAGAACTAAATAAACACTAAATTCATACTATGTGAGATTAAACGTGTATTTTACTCAAAAAAAATGAAAATTTTCCACCATAAATTTAATGTTTTGTTTCATTTTGGTGATACACAGAAAATAGATAGTGAACTGGTTCAAGCTGATCATGTAAGGGACTCCTTGCTCGAGCTAACACGTAACCCAAGCAGAGGCAGGTCTGAGATGGCTACAACGTCCGAAAATGGCAATGGCATGGATCATCACCATCACCACCTGATCCACCTCCATAGACGCCAAATCAATTCTCACCACCACATGCACCACTTTCATACCAACACATGACTGCTCGGAATTGCAGATGATTGTTGTTCTTTTCAACTTCTCTTCTTTTTCGTTTTTCAAAAAACTATCATGAATTGAGCTACATTGACATGATTACAGTAAGATGAATCTGCTTGGGTTTTATATTACTGTTTTATCAGTTATAAATTAGTATTTTTCATGTTTGTTTACAAATTTTAAAGGTGGTCAGAAGATGGTAGTGGTTGGTTAATGATCACCATCTCTACTGTTGGACCTTAATATCACGGGTTGAAAAAAAAATTGTGCAATGTATGACCAAAATGAGAGCGAAACAAAGACCAACTCTAAAACAAAGGTCATATGCTTCTGTGCTAAAATAGACCAAATTTCCTTTTTTCCATGTTTTATTTTCGAATTAGTATGATATTTAAGAAGAATGTAGGCATGAGCCAGGGATATACATTTGGGTTGGGTTGGATGAATACAAGATTAGATTAAATTTGACTTTTATTACATGTGTTTTATAAGGGTAAAAAAATATTTTTTTTACAACTATTAACGTTGATGATTTTAATACCTATTAAGATCTTGATTTTATTTGTCAAAATGTCCGTGTGTTATTTAAGTTATGCGTATTTGGACCTAAAATCCAACCTAATTAGAGATGGTGTGTGAAATTTTTTGGTGGCGATCCTATGTACGACTTCTAATATGATGACTTCTAATTTTTATTTATTTTTTTGGTCATCTTATTTCTTTTTAATTTATTCATTCAGTCTATCAGAAGGCCCACCTTTACCCAAACCCACGACTCAACGCTACGACATTGTTTAGGAGATATCCAGTCCATGGTAAAGCCCGTTTCTTAATACTTGATAGACGACGTCGTTTGGACTTCCCCTCATCCAAAGCAAAGTCTACCAAATTTGTCCAAAACCCTAATACCAGCAGAAAAACCTCCACCTCCGCTGAGTCTACTCTCTCTCGCGCACATACACACACACACCCGCGCAGATACACATATATAGTTATATATAATCAAAAATCAATGGCATTTACCGGTGGTCGATTTCGGGAGCTATTGAAGAAGTACGGAAAGGTGGCATTGGGTGTACACTTTTCAGTCTCAGCAGCCTCAATCACAGGTCTCTATGTCGCCGTCAATAACAACGTCGACGTCGAGTCCATACTCGAAAAAGTAGGCGTACGAGGCGTCTCTAATACCAATCCCAAAGAAGAAGAAGCAAAAACTCCTACACTGCCACAAACAAACTCCGAAACGATCGATGGGTTCGTTCTGGAAGAACCAGTACCAGTGCCTAATCAAGAGGTTATGGTTCCGATGGAGAAGAAGAAGAATCGAACCGCTGAGTTGGCTGCTTCGAGTGGTGGAGCCCTCGCTTTGGCGGTGTTATTGAATAAGGCTCTATTTCCGGTGAGGGTTCCAATTACGGTCGCACTTACGCCTCCGATCGCGAGGTTCTTGGCAAGACGCCGCATTATCAATAACAGTGTATAACTTTTATTCGATTATCATTTCAAGTTCTCTCTTTTTTTGCCATATTTTATTGTAATTTCAATTCAAGGAAGAGAGAGATAATATAAATGGAATTTTCTGGATTATCTCATGGCTAGTCGTCGTTCATTGTGATTTAGTCTGATGTGTTAGATTTGGCTATAATGCATTTAACATGCTTGGTCATTGTAATGAGAGATTTGGCTTTTTGGATCCTATAGGTTGGTCCTTTCATATCTAGTCTGCATCCAATCCTCATTTTCAATCGTGGTGGTAGACTTGGATACCAATTGATATGAACCTATGAGTAGAACTTACAAAAGCTATTTACAGTGCTAGTTAAACCTTCAAACCCCTCAAAGGCAGAGTTTAGGAATAAATCGATTCCCATAGTAATAAATGCAGTTGCAGAGGAATTGAAATGAGCACTGCCAGGTGGTTCTGAAGGAGCTGAAACATGGCACAAGTCTTTCTGCTGAAAAGGACAAAGGGAGAAAACATTACAAATGGAAACACAACACAAATCTACGGGCTGATGAATTTGCACAATCATATGGATGCTGGTATTCTTGTCATTGGACAATGAAGATGATACAGTCATAATCATCCTGAAATGGAATCATGTTAACACACCACCTTCAAACAGAGGTTTCCCGAAACTCACTCCACTGCATCCAAGCAAAATTTCCATGGCGTATGAGAAGCTCAACCCCTACATGTGAGAAAAATGTTAAGACTGTTGAAAATGAAAGTCCTCTTCTATATGAACTATACAATGGCAACATAAGATAAATAATGCCCCTTAGCTTATAGATGAGAATAAGGTATGTCAAATTTACAACTGTATTGTGTGTAACACTTGAGACTTGGAATATGATTTCAACCTTGGAGTGTTTCTTATAAATTGAAGTAGAAATACAAGCAAAGCTAAAGCAAGAAGGTTCTTCTTTACCAAATTTATGAACAAACAATGGGACTTCACCAAAGAATCTCAATACACCCCAACAAAAATTGGTCCATCATCCTGAATAATAAAGAAAAGTTGATATTGATGCAAAACCCCAGACAAAATAACATCACATTGCTCAACAATATCAACCGCAATTTTATGCTGTAGTGTGAATCAACAGTAGTCAGTCAATGAAGTTGTATCAAGAGAATAATGCACTGCAAAGGCACTTCCACGTTAGTGGTACCATCAGTTTTCCGTTTCGCATGTAAAAATCCAATTTTTTTGTACCAAACTCGACCTCCCTAGCCATTGGAAAAGTTCAATCTCCACAGGAAAAAAGGAGACATATGATCCAATTAGGCCTAGAATTTTGCAATTGGGTTTACAGATGGCGTCAATCTAATAGGTTGCGCATCATGCCTTTCTAATGTATCTGTAAAGTTCTGTTCCATATGAGGTCAATTGCATGAGGACACATGGTCTCTAGGAGGATGGCTAGTAGTAGAGCTGCTGAAGGAACAAGCAGCCAAGAAGCTGACCGAATCTGTTGAAATTCAATACCTTGAGTAAATTTAATCTGAGTTTTCACTTTTCGCAGTTTTAATAAATATGCAGAGATCATGTCTGAACCAAATAACAAGCTACCACAGATAAAGTTTGTGTCCAGATTATTAAAGACAAAAATCTTGAAAAAATATCTTGTAGGTTGCAACTAAACATGCCCATTATCTGCACCAAATATGGGAGCAGGAAAGGCCAACTAAAAGTATTATTGATCACGACAGCAACAGCAAAATGACAATCGGAAACCAGTAGTGTTTGGTACTAATTACCTTAGGGGGCTTCCGCATAAGATACACCATTGTCTTGCAGTTCAGCAGAAATGTATTCTCATTGTAGGACGCTGACTTTTTCTCTCCCTCAGCTGTCCCAACTTGCTTATCATACCCAGCTTCATTAAAATATGGCTTAGAATTTAGCACTAGCCCCTGAAGTGAAACCAGGACTTGAAGTATGCTTGAGGATGAGGATCCCAGACGTCATTTCCTCTGCCTGCCCGAGTATTTAAAAGGCTTACGCATACTTTACCATCTTCGTACAAATTTGGATTTATCCGCCAGCCGCCAGAATGATAGTAGGCCGACTGCAAATAGCAGAAACAACACTTAAAAACATATTCATCTTGATTTTGAGTTCAAACATATCTTTTAAAAATTAGGTGAACCAAAATTTGAATTTTAGGTCCTAATTACACAATCATCTAAAAGAGCAAATATTAAAACTCTCCTACCGGTGGAACATCAGGGTACTCAGGCTTAAGGTGAAAATCAAAGATGAAAAGGCCATCTTGGTAAGGGGTCCCATATGCTCCAACTATCACCGCTCTCAAGAGATCCATCCGATGTTCATAAACTCGTACATATATCCCATCTGTTTGAATATTCAACCTTTCAGAACAAAAGCTTAATAGAAAAAAATGCAGTTGCTAAACAGAATGTCAGCACACGTTATTATGTTCTAGAAACAAGCAGGTGCAAAGCATACCGGGCAGGTTATTCTGAAGGATGTTCCAATCTTGCTGAACCTTCTTGAGCCACTTCCTTTCAGCATTATTCTGCAAGTTAAGTAACATGTTAAGGTTTATTAGGCCATAGATAGGTCTCCTAGAAGGAAACAAAAACCCATGTTTGGGATGACAAGTCCTCCCACCAAGAAATAGAGTGGGTTGAGAAAAATGACTTGGCGTTCACAACAACCCAACCTCTCTTCAATTACCTCAAAACCTAAATCTCTCCTACATCCTCTTTTAAGGAAGAACTTCACATTAAATCAAACAGAATGTCAAAAGAAGAAGGCAAAAAATCTCGATACTACTCATGGACACGGTTTTTTCACAAAGCAAAATAAAAAGAAGGAAAGACAGAAAGCAAAGAACATGGAAATTGATACAACAACATTCACTTTTAAAAGTGAGTAAATGATGAAGACTCAAGGCTTATCCAGCAATAGGAACATGACAGAGTGCCCTGAAATGGGAGAGGCTCGGTAGTGTGAGTAAAGTTTTTAGGGAATAAGGATAGATTCAGTTTAGAAGATGAAGTAACAAACAGCAGAGAAATGTAGGACTTACTCGTCCATCTGTACCAAGAAAATAATGGTCATAAGGGTCTTTGGCAAAATCAAAGCATTTGAAACTGGATGTGCCATCGGCATATCGTGATGAAGTATCTGATTCTTCAGGCTTCAAGTTGAAAAGAGCATCACCCACTTTCAACAAATCTGTGGCCTCAGCAACAATACTTTCCTCTCCTTTACCATGAGAGGTTAGCACACTCCAATTCCCCAGAGATTGAATTTCATTTTCACCTGCAGAATCAAACCTTATTGGATCTAGGTGTTTTTGACCCCTTGAGAGTAGTCCAGTGGCCAGGCTGGTGACAGAACCAAGTGCAGTAAGGGATTTAGAAAGAGCTCCATTCCTTCCAGCATTTTCTGCTGCCAGTGAGTTCTCGTCTGTCTCATTACCAAGGGCATTAGCACTTCGTGGCTCAAGATTCTGAATACAATGAGCATTCACATAACCAGATAATGTAAAAGAAAATATCAATGTATGAAAAAGATGAACATAACATCCTAATAAAGGGGTGATCACAAACTGAATAAATACTTTCTGAATTAAACAAAACAATTACAGACAAATGGCAGTCCTGCTTAAAAGATGAAATGCCCCCAGGCACAACTATCTAACAACCTGAACCCCCCCCCCCCCCCCCCCCAACCAGCGCGTGCCTGCGGTAGGAGGGTGCAAAGAAAAAGAACTTCTATAAAGAGGGGAAATTGTCATGTTATTTTTAGGTTATTACTGCAATGACAAACTCAAAACTTAGAGCTATCGACAACCCCCACCAGTTAATACTGTCGTATACCTATTTCAGTAAAAATCTACAATTATCAGAATAACATGGGGTATAGTAGTAGGAGTATAGTTTGAACTTAATTAATTGGCCGGCTACTAGAGGGTTTAACCGCACTTATTATTATCAGCCATTTATTGCAGTCAAATGGCTCTCAGCAGAAAAAGGTTAACTTCCACTCAAGGGCTTCAGCAACTTGGAGGTTCCTACCTCCCTCATCAGATACATTTTATCCTCAAACAAACATTAAAAACTAAAAATTGGAAGGGAACCCACAATATGAATAGGAGCCCTTTGCAAGTTCAATTTTAGGAGAATAGGACCTCCTGAAAATCATATGCATAGCCATACAGCATTCATATAAACAATGACAAAGAGAAACTGCAAGATAATTGCTTGAAGCTAAGTTGCCCCTTATTATCCTAAGATAACCCTATTACTGTCCTAATGAAACACTACATGTTAACCTATGCAAGTACCTAACACAAGCAAGCTCCATTATATTAAGTTAGAGGGCATGAAAATACTGTTCAAAGCAATGGTCAACCTCTTTCGCATTATGAAGGGCATTCATGTCACCATCCTCAACTGTCTCCCAGCTAGCCGCGTCATCACTCACTTCACTTCCAGCAGTTATGAACTCATCCTCATCACGTCCAATGACATGTATTGCTTGGGGCCCAACCTAATATCAAAGCAAAAATTGTGTTGATCAAGAACTGCATCAAACTCCCTCACAAGTGGAATGAATACTATCAGATGAGTGAATATATAGACAAACCGAACAACAAACTATTCATTCTCCTGTAGTATTTGATGTCAGTGGAAGGAAAACGAGGAGAAGAATAATTGAAATTTCACAACCAGTATTTGTGAACAGGTTGCTAATTGGAACAGGTTGTGAGGGTCGAAGGGGCCCAAGGTGGATAATGAATCGTTTTTATGAATCGCCTGAGTGATCCTAAAAGGTTAAAGGAGGTTCCTGGAACAAAGAAAAACAAGTTATAAAGGCGTCGGAGTATTTTCTGGCGTATCCCCTCCGACGATCAAGTCAATTCTTTGAGAGAGGGGAAGAAGAAAACACTGTATGAGGTTGAGAGAGGGTTTGTTGCGTACCTCTTTTCTATGTTTGTGAGGACTATTTATACTTTAAAAATTCATCATTGCTGACAGCGTAGCCAGTAGGTAATCATTGGGGGTGGGCAGCGTGCACACCAATTTCTATGAGTAACGATCTTATTCTTTACTGCTCGGGACCCCGAGCAACTAATGTTTTCTCTTCGGTTTGCCGAACGTTTAATGATCTTTTCTCGGCGGGGGTGTATTAAATGCCCAGGCTTTGGAACATTTATTACTTTTTACTTCCGAGCTCTCATGCATTAAATGTTGTCTCATTAAGGAAAGAGTGCATTAAATACTTGCTTTCCCAAGTCGTGTGTCAGCAAGGGCATTCTCGTCTTTTTGTCTCTGATATGACACAATACGTCACGTGCCCATTCCCCTTTGGTTGAGCCTTCTACTTTCTTGTGCCTCCTGACACCATTTGAGTAAGACGAGGTTATGATGACTAGTCTAGCCTTGCCTAGACTAATGATTTGTCCATCAATAGCCCCTGCAGGTGCAGAAATGCCCACACGGATAGATACTCCATCGGTTCCGAGGGACTAGCATGATTTAGGACCGATGTACCCAAATTGCCAAGGAATACGTGTCGGTCCATGGTGGTTTGAGGGGTCCTTGATCCTTGTGAATAGCTTCCTCGGGGCAGGGGGGTTGGAAACGACGAAGACGTGTCGGTATCATAGCGAGAGTCTCCATTGACGCCGAGTACACGTGTCATCATCTGGGAGTGTCTGGAAATGTCCCATCAACTACCCCCAGCCTTCGATCTTCTGACGCCGAGGACACGCGTTGTAAGGAGACGAAGGATTCTGCAACTACCCCAACCACTCCATCATTACTTTCAGTCATTTTTCACTGCTTAGGAGGTCGTGCGCATTAATGCGCCTCTTCGTGCTTCGCGCCTAATGATGGGGAAGGGTACTATATAAACAGGTTCTCTCTCTCTTTCCCACACTTTTGTCATTTCGAACTCAAAGAGCTTTCGCCTGAAAACTTCGCTGAAGACCCCTTTAGTCACGTCGTCTACTAGTCAGTCGTCATTGGAGTTTAAATCAACAAACACCCTCTTGCTTCTGAACCTTCTGGAGAGAGGAACCACTCCAAGCCCTTCAGAAACCTTCGTTTGCGTTCTGGTGAATCCTTGTATCTCCCTTCTTTTCATCTTTTTGGGTTTTTGTTTTTTATTCCCCAATAACCGGAGGTGTTTCTGGTTGTCATTGTGTGACCAACCCTCAGGAAACCCCTTGGGGATCTTTGTAGAAAAACTTTTTCCTTCCTCTTCAATTTTTATCTTATTTGGAGATGCCCAACGTCGCCCTGTCACCGAGGATCCCCAAGCCAATTCCTCAAGGTCAGGGAAGTACAAAGTGAAGGGAGACGAGCAGATCAATAGGTTTAGGGCCCGATATCGCATCCCCCAAACGAAGGTATAGAAAAATATGACCCAGTTTTGCATAACCGTACTCTCGGGGCCGAGGATGAGATGCCTTTTTTCACTAAGACAATCATAGAGGGTGAAATTAGATTCCCCCTGCCTCCTCTACTCCTCTAGTTCCTCGCCCATTTCAACCTCTTCCCAGGGCAGTGTTGCCTTAACGTCTTTAAAATAATAATGGGGGTCTTAGAGCTTAACAACCATCTCGGGGTAAACGTTGGGCTCAACGATATCCTTTTTTGCTACTCCCTGTTAAGGGTCATGCCTCAGCAGAATTTCTACCTCAAAACTAGGGATCCCTTCATGTACCTTGTAACTCACCTCCCTGACTCGGACAAAGGATACAAGGATGACCTTTTGATCTTCAGTGGATCCTGGCAGCGGGGGACCGGTCCCGAGTACAATGGTCTGATGTGCCCTTTTGAATGGAGAACGACAAATACGTCGGCTTCTCCGAGTCTACTGTTTTTGTCTTTGGAATTTTTTAGAAGTGTTAATAACCTTCTTTCTTGTGCAGACGTCTCCGCCCAGGAAGTTGCTCCTCCCCCTCGGTCCTTGGTGAACTTTGCTGACCTCGTCACTGTTTGGAGATTTGTTAGCGACGACGGGTTCGGCCAGGCTGCTCACATTCTTCTGAACTACTCAGCAGGGTATAAAAAGTTCTCACAGCTCCCCAGCCTTTTGACCCTTTGTGGTGGTCTGAACTCTTCGATCAGACTGTGCAACAAGAGGCCGAGCAGAACTTGAAAGAAGACCTCGACAGGGCTACTGAGGAGAAAGTAGAGGGTGTACTTGAAGTTGAGGAGTCCGGGGCCAGAGAGGCTTTGGTTCCTTCGCATGCCGAGGTGGGGACTTCTGGGAGAGATTCGTGGCTTGACTTCCACATCCTTCAGTCCCTAGATGCAGAGGACGCCTTTGAGGTAGTCATGTCCCGCACATCCCGCATAGATCTGGGATTCCTGAGGCAAAGGCAAGCCCTTGCCGCCGGGAAAGGATGGGGGTCAACCAGTAGCGCCCCATCAACAAGTACCAGCGCCAACCCCCCACCTCCGAGGGCCACTGGTTGGGGTCAAGTACGCGATCGAGATCCTCAACTCGAGGAGGAGAGGAGGACCAAGCAAAGGCACGACGGCCCAGGCAGGGGATCCAGGGCCCCCTCCGCTCAACAGCCAAGCAGGAGGGGTCGTGGGTTACCAGCTCCACCTCAACAGCAACAGTAGAAGCAGAGGCAACAACAATAGCAACAGCAGCAGAGACAGACTCCACCTCCCTCCGCAGACGGTGGAAACTGCAGAGTGGAATCCTCGGGCCACAGATCATATGAACCGGGTGATCAAGGTTGATGATTCCATTCTACAAGACCCCCATGTCGCCAACGCAGTGAGCGAGACGCTCCATTTCGAGGCCGACATGGAGGCTCATAGGGGGCGGATGACGAACACGTTGTTCCATTCCATTATTCAAAATTCCCTAGTGGTAAGTTTATCTTTGTTTCAGCCTTTTCTTGTCGTACCTCCTATAATTGACCAAGTTCTTTCCTTCGCAGGCCACCCAACAAATTTTCGTAATCACTGCGTGATATCATGCAGCTAGGATGGACCTCCAACAGACCCAAGAGCAGAAAAAAGAGGTTGAAGGAGCCCTAGCCAGTGCTAAGGAGGACGTGGCTACCAGGGACTCCACCCTCGCGGGGTAGGCTGCTCAGATTGAGCAACTCCTTAAGGACATCGAATTGGCGAAGGTCGGCGCTGAAAAGTTAAGTGCTGCCTTGGCCGACGCTGAGAGGAGGATCACACAGCAGACGCAGCGGCTCTCTGCGGCCGAGGATAGGGCTGTCAGGTCAGAGGAGAGTTGCTTGGCTCCGACCCAGAAGCTGGACAGGATCAAGGCAGAAGCGGAGAATAGGAAGATTGAAGAGCAAATCCAAGAAGAGTTTGTCGACGACATACTGTCCACCCTCGAGGAGAACAACAAAGAGTTCTTCAAAAAGGGGTGGGATGAGGCGCTCCGAGTCGCCGACGTACTTCCAAAATCCCCACTCTTCCAGATACATAACTACGTGCCATCGGTGGAGATGGCACAGGCCGAGGCCGAGGTTGCTGCTGAGGGTGCGGCCCTAATGCCAATGCAAGTTTTGGAAGACCCACCTGAGGTGGTAATTCTCATCCCATCCGATGAGGCCCTGCCGGAGCCAGCCCCTTCTGCCCCCGATTCCAACATTTCTCAAACCTTGCATGCTGTTGATTCTGCCCCAGCTCTGCCTGCTCCCGAAGCTGCTCACCCCTTCTGCATTGATTCTCCTTGCAGTGACATGTTAGAGATGTCCGGGGCCAGATGAAACTTCTTTTTTTCTTTTTCGAAATGTATATTTTTTTTCTGACTGTTCTAGCCCTCGGGGACGCAAAGCCCATTTTTTTGAAATAAATAGCCTGCTTTTTATTTTCTGAGTACTTGCATTGTCTACTAAAACCATTTCATCATATTTATTTCATCATCTTTTTTACACTGATGCTGTAATAACCAGTGGTAACGGAATATCTCCATAGCTCAGATACCCGGGGAGCAATCTGGTTGATCCGACCGATTAGTTTAGTTTCTTCATTGTTGTGTCGTACCCCCCCCCCTCGGGGTAATGTCCTCCCCAGAGGTTTGCCCTCCCAAGAAGCTTGCTCCTGTTTTTCCTTCGGAGGTAGGAGTCATTGAACTCTGCTTCGAGGGACTTGCCCTTTCAGGAGGCTTGCTCCTGTTTTTCTTTCGGAGGCAGGAGTCCTTGAACTCTGCCTCCAGAGTTTTACCCTTCTAGGAGACTTGCTCCTGATTTTCCTTCGGAGGCAGGAGCCCTTGAACTCTGCCTCTAGGGTCTTACCCTTTTAGGAGGCTTGCTCCTGGTTTTCTTTTGGAGGCAGAGTCCTTGAACTCTGCCTCTAGGGCCTTACCCTTTCAGGAGGCTTGCTCCTGTTTTTCGTTAGAAGGCAGGAGTCCTTGAACTCTGCCTCCAGGGCCTTGCCCTTGTGATACTGTCATTTGATGATACTGCCCCTAATCAGTGCTGAGAGAGATAATACTCAAAAATAGTACTTCTTCAGATTTATCACATTTCAAGGCTGTATTACAGGTTTTCCTCCCATATCTTATAATCTATATGATCCGGAGCCCCCTACTGACACCACTTTGTAAGGTCCTTCCCAATTAGGTCTCATCTTCCCATCTACTAGGTCTTGGATATTGGTCGTCACCTTTCTG